AAAATAAGAACCAAGAGAGACTATGTAAAGGTGCAAATTTCCAATGATGAATGTCATTTTATTGTATACCTAAAATGTACCAATAAAATAATATTAAAAAAAAGAAACACTTGCACTCATGGGTATCAAAATCTGTCTTACTTTTTTGTCACTGGGACAGAGTACCCAACACACAACTTAAAGGAGGAGAGGTTTATTGTGCCTCACATTTTCAGTGGGTTCATTCCATGGTAAGCTGATACCAAGGCAGAAACAGCATGGGAGAAAGGGATGGTGGATAAAATGCTGCTGAAATCATGACAACCAGAAAACATAGAGAATGGAGGAGCCAGCAACAAGAGTAAACTTTTCCTGTCATGACCGCAGTTACCCACATCCAACTAGGGCTCACTTCCCAACAGCACATTCACCTACTGAACTCAGTATGCATCTACTGATTAAGAGTCCCCATGAGCCAGTTGCCCTCCAAGCACCTGAGGTTGTGGGGCAAGGGGGGATTTTTAATCTAAACTACAGCACAGGCTAAAGAAGAAAATCTTGTGATGTCAATAGATGAGAAAACAAATTGTACAGAATTCAATACCCGTTCATACTAAAAACTCTCAACATAGTATAAGTAGAGGGGAAATCTCTTAACTTGGTTCTTAAAATTTTAAAACCTATAGATAACATCAAAATTAATAAGAAATTAGAAAATGAGAAATTTGGGAAAAAATCAGGACACGCAAGGATGTTTTCTCCCAACCGCTTCCACTATTGATGGAAATCTTAGCCAATGCATGAAGACTAAAGGAAATAAAGGGCATTTTTTCAGGATGGAGTAGGGGATAGTACTGTCTTTCTTCTCAGATGAAATGATTATCTATTTAGGAAAATTCCCAGTTGTGGGAATAAAGAATTACAGGATACACAGTTAATATACAGAAGTTAATTGCTTTCTTATATAAATACAAATAATGGGCGAAATTTGAAATGAAAAACAATTTTTATATAAGCACACATAAAAAGGCTGTACTTAGGAATATGTGTTAATAAAATATGATTTGAAAATAATATTTCTGAGGAAAATGACAAAACTTATGAAAGAAATCAAAGATCTAGATAAATGGAGAGATAGTCCATCTTTGTGGATAATACTATGGTCAGAATGTTTGTCTCCTTCCAAAATTTATATGTTGAAATTCTAACTGACAAGGTGATAGTATCAGGAAGCAAGGCCCTTGGGAGATGACTAGGTTGTGAGGGACCAGCCCTTGTGAATGGGATTAATGTCCTTGTAAAAGACCCAAGGGAGCCTACTTGCTCTATTCAGCATGTGAGAACATGGAAGCCACCAATTGTGAGGAATGGGCCCTCACCAGACTGAATCTACTAGCATCTTGATCTTAGATTTATAGAGAGTAAACTCAGAAAATTAGGAAGAAAATATTGTCAAGTCACTGTCTCAGTTCTTCCTGATTTGACCTGTAGTTGAAACATAATCCCTATCAAAATGCCTGATTAGAAGGGTTACATGGGAAGAGGAATCCCCACAGTTGCCAACACAAAAAATGTTGAAGAGCAAAGTCAGAGGGTAGACACCACTGGCTTCCAGGCATCCTCTGCAGTGTCCTAGGTGAGTGGTGAGCAGAGCACACATCATTATAGTAGAGTGTTGTCAGCAACCCAAAAACTCAGCCAGGTGAAAGAAAATAGTTTGAAAAGGCTGTATGCTGCAGGAGTCCATTCTGGAAAAGATAAATCTGTGGAAATAGTGAAAGATCAGTGGCTGCCAAGGCCTGGGTGAGGATGGAGAGGGTGGATCTGTGCATTATAGAGGTTTTTTAAAGCAGAGAAACTTCTATGTGATTCTATAACAGTGGAAAGATGACTTTCATGCATGTGTCAGAATGCATCTAATGTACAGCAGGAAGAGAAAAGCCTGAAGTAAATGGGGAAGTTCTTTTGGTAATTATATATCAATACTGGTTTTGTTAGTTTAACTTTCTTTTTTTTTTTTTTTTTTTTTCTGGTACCGGGGATTGAACTTGGGACCTTGCGCTTGCGAGGCAGGCATCTGAACCACTGAGCTAAATCCCCAGCCTAGTTTAACTTTCTTAATTCAGGATCCAAGTAGTAGGCAAGCTGAGTGTGGGTAGACCAGGGACACATGGGAACGCTCCATTTGCTGCTGTATCTTCTGTAAACTTAAGACTGTTCTAAAAAGACTATTTTTAAAAATGAAAGCCTACTTCCCCACTCCTACCTCTTCTTAGACCTTAGAGGGAAACAACATTCACTTGGGTTTCTTATCAAGCATAGTGCTTTCCTGCAGCCATTAGTACCTCCCCACCTTTATTTACATGAAACACTATGGACCCTGCAGCCCACACACTGCTTTCCTGTGATTTTGTGCTGTGACTCTTTCTGCACCTGTGTGTGTGTGTGGTGTCTGTCCTGTGAAGGGCACCTTTAGGTGAGTGACTAGGCCTCTAGGAGGGGTGTTGTGGAACTTGGAGCTTTGCTATGAGGAGCCCTATACTGAACACACTTGAGAGTGGACAGTTTTCTTCCATTCCAGGAACAGGTGAAACTCAGCCCATGACTGATACTGACCAGGCCTTTAGGAGGCAGTATGGTCATTCCCACAGCTGTAGATCAATGACTGGATTTCCAGGGAGTGGCCATGTGTTTCTGCTCATTGATCCAGCAGTCATGGCTCTTGTCCTTCACTCAGCTCTGTCCTGTCTGAGCTGGACCTGCCCAGCATCATTGCTGTGGGGATGTATATAGTGACCAGACATAATCACTGGACATTAGACTGTCTGAGGGAGGGACATCATGGGAGCAGAAGCCCCTGTCAGAGATTAGAGGCTTGTAGAGATGCCTTCTGGAGTCCCAGGGAGGGCAGCCATGCCTCAGGCTTGAGACAGGCTTTTTAATGGCCTGCTCAGGGCCCTAGGGGTCCCCTTTCCTTCTTGCTATTGGTACTCTGTTCTCCCAGATAACTACCCTAAGATAATGGACTCCACTGTCTCCATGCTGTTGTGCTTCCTCTGTCTGAACCATCATCCTCCCTGCTCCTCACTGCCTATTCTAGCTATTCCATCAAGACCTGGCCACACTCAGGTAATAGTATTTGCATGCATAGGGCTCTGCAAGGGCTCTCCCAGGATGGTACAGCCCCCAAGCCTGTGCATCAGGAAATCTACACCAGGTCCCATGTCCATATCTTTGCCCTATGTTCAGATCTCTTTGTCATGTCCTAATGTCTGGCCTAGGATCCATGATGCTCAGTGACGCCCCATAAGGGTGAGCCTATAGCTAGAAAGGGTGTATGAGCCGGGCCTCTGCCAGGGCCTGGATGTCCAGGAGGAAGCTTAAGAAGGCTATGGTTGGTTATGGGACAGGTTGGGGTACCAAGCAGCAGGCTGGCTCTGCACTGTGGAGTGGTTTGTGCCGGGTTTTTCCTTATATCCCAAATCTGTCTTGATTCATAAGAGGACAGCTGTACGGCTGTGCTGACCCTTCTCAAATGTGGCTGTCACTTGGACCACCATAGTCCAACTCTGCCAAAGCACCATATGTGCTAAACACTGTTCCTCTACAGGATGGATGACCATTTTCACTGAGTACAGTTGGGGTTAAGTGCACCTCTGTTCTGCTTATTGGCTTAGATGATACTTAAACCTGTGTAACCCTGTTTTCATCTGCTTGGAGCTATCTTCACTTTCTCTGAGTGGGGAAACACTAGAGAAGATGGTGGTGTTGGCTTCAGAACTAAGCGTGCCTGAGGCCTCTAAGGGTCATTTCCATGTCTGGGGAATGTGATGAGAGGCAATGTGGTTAGTACACAGCACTGCATCTGGAGAATGGGCTCTGATTCTTGTTCTTTTCCATGTTCCATACACAATGAAATGGCATCACAGCCTCCTTAGAGCTGTGTATATGGGCTCAACCATACCTCCTCAGAACTGGCATTTTGATTCTGCCTGGGGTTCACCATGTACCCTGATGTGAGGAGAGCCCAGCCCTGGCACATAACACTGCATCCCTCAGTTTGTTTCAGATGTCCTATCCATGTCTGTAGAGTGGACCGTGCTCTAGAAACTGAATGTCCCAGCTGCTTATGGTATGAAAGGACTTTTCCCATGAAATTCTGGAAGCGTAGCTTGCCACTCATTTCAAAGCTGTTCTTCCAAGAATCTGCCCAACACCCCAGGAACTTTAGCTCAAAGCAATCCCTCTTGGTCCAGAAGAATTTGGCCTCTGAGGCCGGCAGCTGAAGGACCAAGTCAGGGCCTTGCTCCCAGGCCCCTGCTCCTGGATGGCCTTAGAGGCTGTTTTGTCTGTGTTCCTCACAGCATCTTGCAGAGGCCAGCAGCTATCAGCCCCCACCTGTCAAGGCTTTGAGGAATGGGTTCACACACTCATTATCACATACCAGTGAGGGCATGGGGATGCCAGTTCATAGAAGGAAAGGGTCCTACAGACTTGTCAGCCTAGGGAGGCCTGTGGGAGGCATATCTCCTGGTTGCCCTAGGGAAGTCTGGGTGGCAGCTGGCAGAGGTCTGGAAAATGCCCATCCTGTATCCCTCCCTCCATCTCACATAAAAACTCTTCCCTGGAATATGAGTGATGTGGGCCATGTGCGAGGAGGAAATCGATGTTATTAAATAAATTCATGTGAGGGTCTCACTGAATACTAATTCCATAGCCCTCTTCAATATATTCAGTGCTTTAAAAGAGGGTGCCAATTAGCTCCTGTAAATCTGCTGGCTGGGAGCTCTTAGGGGATAATGAAGTGGAGTGTCAGATTCCAGGTCGTGGAATGGGAATTTATGAGTTGCAGGGATCCCTGGAGCAGCTGCTCAGGGGTAGACCCTTGTCTGCTTCTCTGATCAGGGCTTCCTGGCTCCCTGAAACTACTTGGGTGGGCATAAACCCCTGGTAGCACATGGCTTCTTGGATAGTGTGTAACGTCGAAGATATTCAAGTCATCTTTTTGATCTTTTCCAGCAAAGAAGTATAAAAAAGTCACTGGCAAAGAGATCTATTCAGATACTTTAGAGAGCACACCAATGCTGGAGAAGGAGAAGTTCCCACAGGACTACTTCCCTGAGGTATGTAAACAGAGTTGTCTTTTGGGCTCTCATCAGCACATGTGCTTTCCAGAGTAAGCAAGTCAGAAGTGAAATTTAGCTCCAAACTGCCATGCTTCACTGTAGGGGAGGCAGGGTGATAGCCTGGCATTGACATTCCATTATTGTGTCTTTCCAGGAGGTTTTAAACCAGTGTGGGTTGATTTGGGCTGTCCTAGATAAGGAAGGAGGGAGTCTAAGCTGTTCATTTTTAGCCTGTAAATTCTGTATTTGTCATTTCCAGGCAAAAGCACCTTCCCCAAAAGATGCAGTAAAGTATCACCTAGCTTGCTTGGTGAGCATGAGTTCCTACTGGTATGAGGGGTCAGTCTGGCTTTCAGGAACAACCAGTTCAGTGGCTGTAAGTCATTGTGTGGTATGGTATGTTGGGACTATAAGGCATTGTACATCCATCATTTTCCCCAACTGTCACAAGATAGGGGGTAGATTCCCATTCACAGATGAGGCCTTGGGGTGGCACTAGTAGGTGAGGAAATAACAGTCCTTGTGAAGCAGGTGGTGACCAGGCTGGTGGCTCAACAATGCTTCTCAGTGATTGTGTCCATTTCACATTGAGAGTTTAGAAATTAAAAAGTCTATGGGCTGAGGTATAGCTCAGTGGTAGGATACTTGCCTAGCATGCATGAGACTCTGAGTTCAGTCCCTAGCACCATACTACCACCACCAGCACCACCCAACACAAACACCCCCCCCCCCCAATCAGGGATTTATTTACTGTCTTACTGCCTAGACTCAGTAATCATAAAGTGCTGATCTATTTCTTTGGGGTTTTAATGCTTTTCTGTTTAATGTTGTGTGTGTTATTTTATGCACCTAGTGGACTATGTGCAGTTTTTGATTCTATTGCTTTTTAGTAAGCCTTACAACCAGCATTTGTGGAGCCTTCTGAGCCTGTGTTATTCACATAATGATCTACACTTTGTTACTGTGCCCATTCAGTGTCTGTTAAGCCATAGTATGGTTTCGATGCCTTGACCAAAAGCATTTTGGATGCTGACGTGAAGGACTGAGTGTCACCTCCTAATGGCTGTTTGCCCATCATTCAGGCATGTCCCACCCTTGCCATGACGTAGGAACCATGTTGTTTTCATCTCTACAGCTCCTGGAAGGCATGCTCTGCACTTCCTCACTCTAGCTGTGCCTGCATACGAGCTGATTTTCAGCAAGGCCACAACTTTATTAACTTGTTTTATGACTTGTGCCTTGAGTGAAGGGATTGTGGCCATCTTCATGAAGGATGGGCATTCCTGTCACCCTGTGGCTCATCTTTCTCATCCATCGTCCCCAGGCCAAGGATATGGTGTCAGTGGGCCAGCCTCCTGTGCTCAGCTGACTCAGGCCTGCCCCTTGGCTCTGCTTCTTGGTCCCCCTCCACACTGAGTATTCTGAGACTGGTGGAGGATGGCAGGAAAGCCATGAGACCTTTCATGTACAGCCACATCCATGACAATATTTTCTGAATTGTGGTGGCATTCCCACAGAAGGACCAAGTGCTGCAGTTTCCTTGAAGAGGCCATGGGCCAGAAGCTGGCCTTCTGAGCCTGTTCACAGCTGATCTTGGACATTTGTCCATCCTACATTGACCCTCACTTGTTTGGAGGCCTCTTTGGGTCTGAAACTGACTCAGGCTCTCATCTCAGAGTGACTAGAACAGACTTGAGGGACTGAAGTGGAAATGGGAGAAGCTTGAGGTGGGGCTGGGAATCCAGGACTGGACCAAGGCCAGATAGCAGGTACCCTGCTCTGTGGTTTTGAGATACCCTTGAAAGACACATGGGATGGATTAAAGATGGGCAGCGCTAGACATGAGCATAAGTGGTAGTACATGTGATGATTGCAGGGGAGAACACTTGAGGACCCCCCCAAGCAATTCATGTATCTCTCATTGCACCTTTCTTCTTTAAATATGACTTTAAACGGTCTCAAATGTTGAGAAGTGTGATGAATCAGTAACAGGTGCCATAGACCCCATTCAGATGAAGAGCAGTTGTGAGTGTGTGCATTTCATTGCCAATGAAGATCTCTGTTGTCTCCTCCTTTACTACTTTGTGTGGACTTTTCCTGAAGATGGCATCTGCCTTCTGTCCAAGAGCCTTGCACATGTGCCTGTTTTGGATTGAGGAGCCTGCCACCATGAGCAGTGTTTTATGTTGCCACAAGTGTGGTCATATCCTTTGCTTGTTTCTGTGTGAAGTTGTTCCCTTCAAGAATCCCTTCGTGTCCCAGGACCATATGCAGGCTCTTTGGTGTTCCATGCCTACACCTTACTCCTTACAATTCTAGAATTGAGGATGGCAGATCCTCTCATCATGTTTTGCCTTCAGTATTAAGGGGTCTAAGAGGCATGTGTCTACCACACAGCCCCTTCCCTGGTCTCTGTGACCATCTGCTATCATCTTAGCAAAGTGCCAGTGTGTCCTGAGTGGACAGGGAAGTGCAGAGGCTGAGAGAATTGGGCATCAGGTGGGACAGCTCACATGGGAGGGGCTTCCCACAACACTGTGGTTCTTCCAGCGATGCCTTGTAAGATCCTGACTCCTCTGTGCCCCAAGCTGTAGTTCCCAAGCAGCCCCTGCAGCCCTGGCCAGGAGGGCTCCTTCCAGGGCCCTCCTTATCCCAATCCTCAGCTTTGGATTTCTCCTAGCCAGCACCCTCCTCCTATCCCTGTCAGTATGGAGAGCCAATGCTGGAGGCCTCTGCTTTGCTCTGCCACCCTTTGGAAAGAGGGTACCCTGGCCTCACCCCCAGTGGTTAGTGCTCTGTCCATTTGTGGCACTGGCAGAGTGAGGCATGGTTTGAAGGCAGTGTATGAGGAGCTGTCTCCCTCCTACAGGAAAGCGGCCCCAGGCTGGGTCTCTGACTTTCCTGTATTCAGCAGACCTAGCTCCAGGGACATATTGTCATGTCTACAGGCAAAGGAAAAAATGCACTTATGAAGCATAAACTCATAAGAAAGGCCATGGGTGTCTGGATGGACCTGTCTTGACTGGGAGAGCAATGAGTGGCTGTAGACAGCCTGGTAGTCACTGATCAGCAGATTCTGTGGCAGTGGATGCCTGGTCCTGCTAGAGGCATTAGTGTTCCTGGGTTCGTTGTGTGGGAACCCATTTTGGAAAACCCTGTATTTGCCCTTGTGGCATGTGTTATGCAAATGCAGTCACACATTTTCTTCATCCTTGTAATTAATAGAAGAAAAACCTCATTTTAAAAACCACAAACTTTTAACATTCTGCCAGCAATGTTGTTCTTTGTAACATGCAGACCTTCACAAAGTGTATTACACTCTGGAGAGTAGGACCGTCGTGTTTCCCATCCTGGAGCCTTGTCCAGGGACCAGCTTTGGCTGGAGGCACAGCAGCTCTGCCTGAGCTTGCCTCTCTGGGCCTTCCTGCCAGCCTTGTGCTGTGTTCTAGCACATTTTGGGGGAGGGAATTAGTATAAGACTGATTTCTCTTTCTTTTATTACCATCACTTAAGGATAATCTAAATGTAATTACTGTGATGGAGGCATAATGCAATTCCAAATAATTATAGCCCACTGCATCTAAAACTAACAAAACTTTCTCTGTTGATTTATGGATGCTTTTGGCTTGGTATGAATTTCAAATGACGCCTCTGGGAGCAACACTCCAGATAATGTGAGGCCATTTTTAAAAAGCAGATTTGTGTAGTCGATTGAGGCGAGTCATTTTTTTCCTCTTGCCCGTAGTGAGAAATTGGTTGTTACCATAGATCACAGACACTGCTGCAAGCTCCTATGAAAGATGAATTAATTCCACTAATGCTCTGAGTGGGCTTTTCACAGCAGGGCTGCATGGTGATAACCTCCCTGCAGCCCTTCTTTTCTCCACTGCGATTTATGCTGTCTTTTAGTAGATGAAACCGCCTGTATTTGCAATCCATCTGCTGGTTCAAGGAACCCTATTAACAGGGGACCTGAGCAGAGTCTGCACGTGGGGAGTGAGAGATGTGCTGCCCCTTGCCCCCTGGCTCCATGTGTGGTGTGGTTTTAATTTCTGCAATGATGGTCCCTCCAAGAGGAGAACCACACTAGACCTGGGGTGGGACTACCCCAGGAGTGTGGAGTTGCCACCATCTCTGGTCTAGGAGGAGTCCACAGATGAAGGTTTCAGAAGGTGATCAGTGATCAGAAAGTTCTATGGCATGATCAGAATGGAAGAGACCCATCAACCATTTGAGGAGCCTTACCCATACATGTTCTTTTTCCATTTGCAATGGGCCAAGTAACAGCATCTGTGTTTGGTGATGCCTGAGGTCTTCCTTGAGTCCAAGTAAATGGGCCTGTGGTGGGCCATTTTCTACATGTAGCACTTCCAGTCATGCACGTTGTGCCTGAGTACATGAATTGCATTTGTGTGTGCATCTGAGTGTATGTATGTATTATTCATGCATCTACCCACGTGTTTGTGTAAATGTATATGTATGAGTGTGCATGTGTATGTTTGTGGGCTCATATGTGTATTTGGATGTGTTGTGGGTATATGTGTATTGTGAGGAGGGAGTATTTAGGGAGGCCACACTGAGGCATGTCAGAAAGGCACCTGCACTCTGTGATGACTTGGGGTAGTGTGCACTCCTTTGGGCCATCCCACCCTAATACTGGCCCCAGGTGCTTAGGCTCAGCCAGAAGAGGGAACCAAGTGGTCAGAAAGAAGCAGCAGCAACAAGCCTGTCTTCCCTCTCTCCCTTTATATTCCATCCATGCTATAAGCCTATTGATGGGTGCCACCCATACCCCAGTGTGAGGCTTCCATTATCCACACCCAGAACTGTGTTAAGTCCATTTAGTTATCACACACCCTTAATCCTATGAGCTTATGAGGCTTTGGGGGGATATCTAGATACAAACCATAACAAAAACTATGTACTGTATTTGGACAGCTCTTATCCAAGGAAGTGTGGTTATAAGGGGAAGTAAAAGAAATAGTACCCTTGATTTTAAAAGAGATGTGGGACCAAGGAAAGAGCTTTGCTTTTTTTTTTTTTTTTTACCACAGAATTATTTTCATTAAATAAAGAAGTGCAACAACAAAATTGCCCAGTGATTATTTCTCTGGACTCTTCTTCAATGTAGGGAACACATTTTACCAACTCTTAACTCTGAATTCTCAAGTGGTCACTTCTGCATCAGACAGCCTGGGCACAATGGAGAAAATGCAATCTTTACCTTTCACCCCTGTGTTCCTTCAAGATGCTGTATGATCCTCAAGGCTCATCTCTCCTCCCTCCTATCTTCCCCAAGTCAACTGCACCAGGCACTGAGTTCTGACTGAGGCCAATGCTGATGGCACCCCCATGCTGTTGGGGCTAGCATTTTAGGAGAAGCAAACACTCCTCTGCTCCTGGAATGTTTGTTTACATGGTGCTTGTGAATTAGATGCAGGAGGAGAGGCTACTTCTTTTGGATAGGATACCCACTCCTAAAGCTGGTTAGGCTGTGAGGCAGCCTAGTGCTGCATGGCTATTTAAATTAAAATTAATTAAGATAAAGTAAAATTTAAGGTTCAGTCTTAGGGCACTCACTGGGTGCTTAGCAGCTGGGTCCAGAACCTTTCATTATCCCACAGATCCTGCTGGGCAGCCAGGCTTCCTGCATTAGTGTGAGCAGAAGTTGGCCAATGATTTTGGGAAAGGACACATAGGCCATTTGGTCCTACATATGCCAAAGCTGTAGGCAAGGTCTTGCCCAACTTCTCCCATGTCTTACCCCTTCCTGTTCTTCTGTGCTATCTCTGCCATTTCTTCCTGACTTCAGGACCAACATGAAGATAATGAATAAATCAATGACTCTTCTCTCAGACTATTGTTTGGGTAGGGGAGAGAATATGGGGCAGAAGCCAAGAGCAGCTTTCTGTAGTCTGTCCCTTCTGTCTGTTAGGAGGAGTCTTAGAAGAATTCTAGGCTGGGCAGTTCACCAACAGCAGGGATTTATTCTATAGACTGCAAAGTCCAAGGTCCAGGTGCCAGCAGGTTTAGTGTCTGGTAAGGTCTATGTCCACTTCCCAGGTGGTGCCTTGTGCTGTGTCCTAGAGGATGAATGTTGTGTCCCTGCATGGTAGAAGGGATCAGAGGGGCAAAAGGGACCAGACTCTCTTTGTGAAGCCTTTTTATAAGGGCTTTAATCATTCAGGAGGGAGGAGCCTTGGTGATACAATCACCTCTCTGAGGCCCCACCTCAGGGCCATCACAATAGCAATTGAATTTCAACATCAATTTGTGGGACACTTTCAGACCATAGCACACACTCTCCTTGAGGCTGCCCTGCACGTGAATAAATGTCTCACTCAGTCCCATAGGCAAAGGCTGTACTCTGTGGCAGTGCTGGGGTGGGGTGTGTGTGGGCTCACTAAGAAAGGGTTTTGATGACAATTCATAATGCTCTCCTGCTTCAGACTTTTCACTGTCATTCTCTTGGTCAAATCAGCTTACTGGCCATCAGGATGCCTAGCGAAACAGCTGCCCGTGACTTTTCACCTCTGTGGTAAATGCATATTTCACTTCCTTTTAGCAGAGTACTTTAAACGCCAAAAGGTTGTTTTTCTGTTTGGAGAAGCATCTTGTATGCACCTTGAGTGCAGCTGAGCCACATGGCACTTTGGCTCCTCTTTGTGGTACTTACTGTGTGATCCTTGTTTTTCAGTGCAAGTGGTCAAGAAAAGGCTTCATCCGGACAAGGTGGTGCATTGCTGACTGGTATGTATGTTACCTACAAGGAGCTGATTATGTCTGCTTCATAATTGTTGGGGTATTTTTTTATCCGTCTGTGGTATTTTGCACAAGCATCATGTTGCAAATGTCTCATCAAAAGCTCTACTGATTTTGAAAGGGGACTCTTGCTGCCCAACCTCTGCCTGTCATTCTTTGACCTTTTTTGTTTGTGGATGATGTCATATCACACAGAGTGTTGTCACCCATCACTTGTAAGTCAGAGGTCTAGGTGCTCAGCACAAATGGAGGTATGGTAGAAAGCCTCTGGTTTTTTCCTGAGCTTTTTGTGGCAGAGCCTGCTGAATGAACACTCTTACAAGGAGACTCCTAAGTGAGTCCCAGGCTGCAAAGTTAATTGGTATGAAGGTGGTCTGGAAACTTGTGTTTATCAAGAGTCTGAGCACAAAGTAGGGACCATCTCTACTTTATTGTATTGGCCTGACTTTCTACAGGTGAATGTTCCTAGAAGCAATGCCCCTTTTCCGATGAAAAGAAACTGCAAGAACCTGTTTCTGCCTTCCTTCTGTGGTTTCCATGTGGCCACCCCACCTATCTTCAGGTGGTAAAATCCTACTTGAGACTTTATTTTTATTTCCCTCCCAGAGATTTTCTGAAGCTTCATTGCCTGAGGATCTCCTAGTATAGACCACCATCATTTTTTAGCTTCAGAGAACAAACATTGATTAGGCCATGGTTTCTGTCGCTCAGTTGGGGGCCTGGCCCAGATCCTATGGACTGCTGGCCCCTGAGACCTAGCTCCAAAGGAAGCTCTTCTGAGCTTGTCCATAGGTGGTGATGGAAGAACACAGCTCTTCCCAGGTGGCCTGCTTGTAGCTGCTCAGGACAAAGTACAGAATGTGGGAGAAGGAAGAGGTAGGCAGAGCCACTGACTATTACAGCTGCTTTTGGTCTCAGAGACCAACCTGGTAGACTGTGAGAAGAGGTACCCAGGGCATGGACACCTAGAGTCAGTGCTCAGGGGGCACTGGCAACTACAGGTTGGGAGAGGGGAATACAAACTTACAGTCTTCAGTCTTTGTATTTATTGCTGAAATACCAGTGCATTGCACAGGATATAATGTGGCAGTGAGCACTTTAGGGACAGAGTTTTAGGACCTCACCTGTGGAATAGACTCATCCACCAACCAGCTGCAATGAAAAAAAGCTGTTTAGGTTGTAGGAAAGGCTGACCTGGGCCAAATTCTGGACTCACCAAGTCCATGTGCCTGGAGGAACTTATTAAGGCAACTGAGGGCCTTACTTGGGATGTTGATCAGAGGCTTCATTTGGGGCATGAAATGTGTAGTCTGCCTTCCCATTTCTTTTCTACCCCAGTGTTAGGGGCCCCTTGACAGTGGTGCAGTGGGCTATATGGGCTTTTAGGAGCTGACGTTGAGAGAGGTGCATCTTCCTTCTCTCAGTTTAGCCTACAGCTTGCAGAAAGTCCTACCATTCTGTGCATGTCCTTTTCTTTAAAGAAAAATAGCTCTCCTTTTACCTGGCCAGAGTACCTGCATTTGTGAGGATTTATTGAAGACCTAACTGAGTATCTCATGTCCTCTGGCCTCAGAGGAGGCCACACTGTGGGCTGGAATGGCTGAGGACAGGTGAGTAGACAGGTGTCCAGGGTGCTGGTGGCTCTGCCACTGAGGAGGCTGGAGCTAGTGCATGTTTTCTTGAGGCAGAGGGAGGGAACTGCCTGCTCAGGGCAGCTGGAGGACTCTGACCTTTGGTCACCGGGTTCTTTTCTCTTTTGGTTGCAGTGCCTTTGACTTGGTGAACATCCACCTTTTCCATGATGCATCCAACTTAGTGGCCTGGGAGACAAGCCCCTCCGTGTACTCGGTTGTCCGGCACAAGGCCCTGGGCTATGTGCTTGACAGGTAGGTGCTGCCATGTCCCAGCCACTTGTGAACACAATTGGAGCTGTTCTGTGAAATAACTTCCCTGATATGTTTTTTTCTTATTTGCCAATGGCCCTTGGGCATGCTGACCCTTTGAGGCTGTAGAATCCCTATCCCCCTGTCCACTTGCCAGAGCAGTACCTCAGCAGGTGGGCTGGATGCATGTCACTTTCCTTTCCTTCTACAGTTTGTCAAAAGCTGAGAAAATAGCACTATGAAGATAAATAGCACAATAGAAAATAAATATCAATAGGGAGATCTCTCAGAATCATGACAGTTGCCTCTGGCTGTGGGCTCAAAAATGGGAACTCCCTGAGGTTCTGTTGGCCATGGCTGGTGTCTTTCTCATAACTCGGGGCTTGTTCAGTCACTCCTGGGGTGTTGGGCTTGGGATCAGACTCCTTAGAGCAGTTCCCAGCAACAGTGTAGGGTCAGCTCAGGGAGACTGTACTGCCCAGCCCTACAGAGAGCCACTTCCCTCCTGGGGCTGTCCTTTGCTGTCCACGTGACCAGGCCTTTCTTCCTGGGGATGAGAGGTAGGCCTTGAGGAAGGGACAAGTGACTTCAGTGACCATCAGGATAGGGGCTATCCCACCTTCTATTTGGGCTTCCGGTTTCCCTGCCTTCTCCCACCTGAATGCACCAGGTCCCTGCCTCTGTCTGTGACATCTGTGATGTCCCAGATGACCTTTGATAAGGGCAGAGCTGATGGGCTATCATCTGGGAAGACAGGTGCCCTGATTAATAGAAAAGTCTGGTCTTGGGACCAGTATCACTCCTGACTTGCAGATGGACCTTTCACTGAAGCTCAGCCCAGAAGCCAGGTCTAGGTTATTCTCTGTTCATTCTACATGGTCCTGAACTCGAACTCTGACCTTCTAGCACCTTTGTGGACAAATGACAGAGAATGACAGACTTTGGTTTATAGCAGCCACTTGCCACAGGCCTAAGACAGGTGTTTCTGCCTCAGAGTAATTTCTGCCATCACCTATCTACCATGCTGTCTCTTTGGGGACCCCACCTAGCCCCCAATTCCCAGAGCAAGGAGTACCACATTATGCTTCTAAGGGAACGTGAGGGGCCTCATGCTGCTCTGCCATATCTACTACGCTTCAGCCTCTCTAACCTCCCACTCAGCCTCTGAGCTCTTGTTCTGGGGTCCCAGCCTTTCTCCTGCCTGCACCTTCCCTCTCTTGGCTTTGACCTGCCACAATCACAGAGCACTTCTTGCCCGTGTCCTTCAAGAATGGAATATTCAAAAGCATGGGCGTTGCACTGAGCAGAGGACCGTGCTATTCCCAGGCCACCACCCATCCCCAGGGGTGGCCACACTGCTGCCTGTGGTTCTAAGGGCAGAGGCCCTGGTCAATGTGCATCAAAGGCTGAACCTAGAGAGGAAGATAAATTAGGGTGGGTGCAGGGAGAGCTGCTGGGAGGCTTGAAAATTTCCAATCAAAGAAAGAATGGTCCACCTGAGAGGGGTGATTGGAGGGGCTCCCACCCTGAGTTGTACATAGTGTGTTATATCCAGCACTATCAGAGACTCTTGAAGGCAGGGCTGGGAGAATCCAGGAGAGGAGATCCTGAGGACTGGCCACATTTCCTCCCCAGCAAAGCGGTGACCCAAGAGGGTGTCCTGAGAGGTCCCTGGAGTCAGGAAGGGTCATAAAGGACAGCCCAGGGAGGTCCCTGTATAAGCATCTGGACTGAGGACCTTTCTGCTGCACCTCATGACCATGACATGTGCACATGTGCATTGTGTGAATAAAGATGGACACATGTATGGGTGTGAGTATGTAGGAGAACATGTTTGTATGTGTGTGCATGCATGCACATGTGGGCTTATAGAGGATCTCATGTGAGGGTGCATTCATGTATATATGTGCCATGACTCGATACTTTGTGTCTTAGGAGAGAAGGAAGGCTGGAGCCGTCTGGACCTTTCCTCTCTCCAGCTTCTCTCCCTCTGGCTGCAGTGTAGTGAGCCAGGCCTGCATGAGCTTCATGCCTGTGGCTTCCTATTCCTCCTAGGTAGTGCTCTGCACAGGGAGGTAGAGAGGTGTTCCTGGCCTTGCATTGTCATTACCCAGGAGTGTTGTTGTCCATTACCTTTGGGAAACATGCCTTCCTACCTGGGAAAGGAAGGTTACCGCAGGGCCTTATGGTCTGGTCTCTTTCCCCTTCTGACCACTCCCTGCTTCTGTCTCCAGCATAAAGGAGTGCTTTGATGCTGCTGGTATCTGCTGAATCCTTGCAAACAAAACAAAACATAGATGTAAGACATGTGGTCTGCATGTTGGTTCTGTTGCCATCCTGCACTGAGGGCCCAACCCTCAGCCCCGTATATAGCCATGCCCTGTTCAGCTAGGTCTGACACTGAGCCCAGAAGCTCTCCTCAGCCATTGTGGGACACAGCACTTACAGGTGGCTGTGGGACTCAGGTGCTTTGTCTCAATGAAATGACCAATGACTGCCACTGTCCCCACCTAGCCCAAGAGCCTGGGTGCACTCATCGTTCCTTTTTCCCATGCTTTAGCACACCAGCTCTGGAGTACCCCAGTTAGGCCTCATGTCAGCTGCTGCCCACTTTCTCCTGGAGTGGAAAACTGTCTAATATTGTCCCAAGCTAGTCTATATCCTCAGGGATGTCACCTAACTAACAGCACCATGTGGACCATCATGTCTCAGTTTACCCAGAAGGTTGCCTTTGTCCTGGTTGGGTATCCTTGAGCCCTTCCTTCCAACAACTTTCTTAGCTGGGCCATGGGCTGCTGGATCCCCCTCAGGACAATGAATCAGCAGCTCATGGGGCAAGAATTTCATCCACAGCACAGCTGAATATGGATCTTCCTGCCTAGTTGGTTCTTTGCTTCATGACACTGAGGGTTTGGGGGACCTCCCAGGGAGCCAAGAGAAATCTACTATCTGTTTGGTGTTGGTCACCATGATCAGATTGTCAATGTAGTAAGGCAATAAAATGTGTCATTGCCCCACATTGCCATGCCTCCACAGCTTCCAGAAAAGCAGCCTTGGGGTTTTGGGTCACTTTTCTGTCTTTGCATTCCCATGAATGGCTTCTGTGGCGAGCTCAGCCAACCGCAGATCCGGACCTCCACCGTGCAGGGCTGGGCTGCCAGGCACAAAGCCGGGCTCTGTAGGAGCGGTGAATAATGGGCTACCCTTTCATCAGGGCTGCTAACCTTTTGGCAGCCACCAGCAGACTGCATTCTGCTACACTGATTGGGGAGGACAATGCCGCTCTGGCCCTTTGAATGGACACTGCCACCAACAGTGCTGCATTCACAACAGCACTGGGAACCGCGGTACACATTGTCTGCTGGGCTTTCCTGAACTGCAGGAGACAGTGAGAAGGCTTCTGACAAGGAGGTTTAATCTCCCTCAGTAGCCCACAGGTCCCTATATCCATTTGATCTGCAGGAGCAGGCAGCCTCAGACCTGGCGTGGGGACAGCTATGTATTCCTATCCCCAACAACTGGGGAAGACCCCATGTTAAAACCAAGAGGCAACAGACACTCTTCAAAGCCTTTCTCTAAATATAAGATTATTTAAAAAAATCAAAAAGATTATTTTTTTAAAAGTTGAGAGTTAAATTCTCTGAGTTAAGGTTTCTAGCAGCCATATGGTGAGTGGTATGGGAACTCACAGCAGAGGCATGTGGTACCCAATACCCAGGAGCACAGCTGGTGAGGATCTGCCCTTCAGTTGAGCTTGACATCAGCCACTGAAAAGGATTGGTGTTTGAAACATCATAAGTAACCATTTCAGTGTTGATCAACTATATCCAGTGTGTTCCTCAGGATTTCTTATCACAAATAATATATTTTTGTGTTCAATTTATGAAAGTTTTGCTTTGAATATCTTGTTATGAAAGTCCTTGGTTAGTGAAAAAGGCCAGGCTCAGAGAAGTTTGGGCAGGTTTGCAGGGTCTGTGAGCTATCAGAGGCATCTATGGCAGAGCCTGGGGGGGCCTTAGGATGGTCTTTACATAGGCAGAGGCCTGAACACTTGTGTGTGTCTCTAGGAGGTGCCTGTACTCGTCCCTGCTGTGGCATTCTATCCCTTTCCCAACACTGAGGTCAGCTCTTCAGGGCATCTGGAGTGACTCAGCCAGAATCCCCCACTGGTCTTCCTGAGACGCCTACTGCGGAAATGTCCTAATATCTTTGAGTCTGTGAAATGTGATATTTTTTCCACAAGTGACAGGACGCTTCTGTGTCCCCTTTGAAATGTGGCCTAGCTAGTTCAACAGAGACATTTTTACATTACAACTGTGAAATCTTGGCATAAAGTGCCCCTCTGTCCCCCTATTATTTTCTCACAAACATAGTCCATTGTCACAACGCTGAAGTTAATTTGATCAACATTGGGACATTTAACTTTTATGTCCAGTGAAAAGAGTTGTTTCATGCTCATTTTGGGCATTCAAAGAAAATGATTGCCAGAAAAATAATGTTCCTGTGAACAATTCAGAGCAATTAGTTCCCAGGGAGAGGTGGTGTGACACCGGCCGCCACACAGCTCCTCTTTGTCGTTTTATGGATGGTCATCAGTCAGCTGTCAGCCAACTCAAAGACCCTCCAATCTAAATGTTTCTCTTTAGGCTGTTCCCAGAATCTGCCTCACTGTTCAGCAAGCAAAAGAAAAGCTGCTTCGTCTCTAGGCAAAGGCAAGCACTGTGCTAAGGATCTAGGTCATACCAACACTCTGATGTGGCACTCAGAGCTGTTTCTCGAGCCTTGTTTTCACCCACTGCCCTAAAAAAGGATTGCAGGTGTCCTGGGAGCTCTGTACATATCCAGTGAGTCATCCATCAGACTGGGAAGCTTCAAGCCACATGCTTTCTCTCTGGGACTCACCATGCCCAACACAGTCCCTGCTGCAACTAAGACTCCCCAGCCTACAGGCTAGTTAGTTCACCTCTGCTGTCCTGGCTGCTTTTAGGCCAAAGTTCCTGGGC